CTTTATCATTTATACTTCAAATTTATTGTCTACAGGTGAAGGTAATCTTCAGCATCACTTTGAGCATGAGAAAATACCTGGAAATAGAATAGAAATGGAGGAGAAGAGGTCAGCTAAGACAATAATGAGCAACAACAATCGATAGACGAGTAACAATAGCCCAGAAAAACAAGAATCAGCCAGTCTAGAGGTAAAATCAGTGATTCCAGAAATATTTAAAAGCAAGCAGACTAATATATCACCAGAACAGCACCAAAAATAACCCAAATAAACTTGAAAATGAACACAGAACACCTCTGAAACTTCCAGCAGACGAAAATTCAACTCAAAACTAGCTTTAATTGGACTCAAAAATCAACTCGAAAATCAGTCTTGTAAACCTCTGAAACCTCAGCCATCAGATTGTGAACTAGAAGATGTGGATTGATTAACTAGAAATCAAAATTAACCTAAAGCTTTTCAATGGAACAGTGTTTTTTGATTTTTTTCAAGATTTTTTATTTTTTTTTTTGGTTTTTTTTTTGAAGAAACTAGATCTAGAACTTGGATTTGAAATTCAAACTTGGAAACTCAGATCTGCAGAGAATGGATTTTGGGGGAATTTTTCAGAGCTGAAAACTTGCAAATGAAGGCAATTAGGCCATGCCTTTTATAGGCAAACTTCAGGGGGGAAGCTTCTAGATCTCACTCACACCTTTTCCCCCTCTTTATTTCAGAATTTTATCAATAGACCTTAATTTACTGACTTGTTACTCAAGTTACTACACTAAAATTGCTGAAGTTTAAACTAAGGCCCTATTCTAGAAGGGTCTAGGGAGTTCTACCTTTATCTACAACATGTTCTCTACATGGGGAATACCCTAAACTACCCTCATTCAATCCCAAAATTACTGAACTAGCCTAACTAAATAACCCAACCCCTTTTTATCCTAGTTAAAGACTATCAGCTATAACCAACTGACATCAACCATATGATTAACTCAACTACGGAAATAAAATTTGAATCAATGAAACAAAACCATATATCAAAATAGATTCGAAACAAAATTAAACTAACATCACAAAACAAGATTAACCAAAAATTAGAACAAAAATTAGAAACAAAAACTCATGGAATCAAGCATAATCAAAGGCATAATCAAACTTATTGTATCATGAATTAAAGCTAACCTAATATGAACTAAACGAACACTAAGAACAGGATCGACTTATGGACTAAAATCAGCAATAAACCCTAAGAACATAATGCAAATTAATCATGAACAAAATAATAACAAAATCTGATGAGCATAACAGTCACTCAAGAAGAAAAAACAGAAAAGGAAAAATTAAGGAAATACCTAGATTTGAAAATTGAAAGAAAACCTGGCCATCCTAAAAGCTCGAATCCAAACTCGACCTTCTGATGCCGTCCCCAAATAACATTAATCCTTTGTTCTTTAGCAAGAACGAACGAATTAACGTTATTAGGAGACGGAACCACACCAAAACTCCAAGGAAAAGCGGAACAGAAACCTTGCACGCTCGAGTCTCGAATTAGACTTTTTCAGATTCAAAATTCGAGGGATTTGAATGGCATTCGAGGATAAGGACGACGGAATCAAGATGAGGAGGGGAGGTGACCCTAGGGTGTTAATTTGGTGGGATTTGGACACGGCGTCGCCGTGCATGGTGGTGGCGGCGCTAGGGGTTTGACTTATTTGAGGCGTTTGATTGTGGGATTTCGAGCGCAAAGGCTTGGGGGCTTGGGAAGAGGGAGGAAGGCGATTCTACAGTGTTAATTTGGGCGTCATTGGACGCGGCGGGACATGGGTACGAGGAGGGAGAACGTTGGTCTCTAGGGTTGTAAAGAGTTTATTCATTTTTATGTAATTTCCTTGAACGGATCTAGACCGTTGGATTATAGACAATGAATGGCCTGGATTTACCTGGGCCAAAACAACGTCGTTTATCATTTAAAAGGGCAGGCCGGGTTAGTTTTGTGGATTGGGCTGATTGGGGCAGGATTTTGAAGGTTTTTGACTTGGGCTTTTGGAATTTTGGCCTGTGGGTTGCACGAAATTGGCCCAAACATTTGCCAACCCTTGCTTCTTATTTCATTTTCTTTTATTTGTTTTCTTCTTTTCTTTTTATATAATTATTTTCTCAGATTTCGTAAAATGCAAAATTAAAATAAAAGACCTGATTTTATTCCCAAAATTAAACTAATGTATTTCCTCAAAATTGATTAAGTCCTGATTTAAAGGAAACTCATTGACAAATTCAAAAATTAATAGTTTTAAAAATGTAAAAATGAACTATTTTTGTCATTTTCTTTATTTGTTCGTAATATTAATCACTAATTAATCCTAAAATGTGAAATTAACCCTACATGCAAATGCCAGGTACTTTGTATTTTTTATGAATTAAGCAACAATAAACGTGCACAAACAAATGCAAACAATTAACAAAAAAAAATTCCACAAAAATCCATAAAATTGCAAATAATGAAAAGAAGTTATTTTGTTTTAAATTTTATGGGAGTAATTCTTTATAGCGCAAAAATCACGTGCTCACACATATATATAAGCCATATTCGATATAATATTACCTAATACGCTTATACTTAGTGCATAGTACAGCGTAAATATATATATTACATATATATAAGCCATATTCGATATAATATTACCTAATACGCTTATACTTAGTGCATAGTACAGCGTAAGTATATATATTACATATATATAAGCCATATTCAATATGATATTACCTAATACGCTTATACTTAGTGCATAGTACAGCGTAAGTATATATATCACATATATATAAGCCATATTCGATATAATATTACCTAATACGCTTATACTTAGTGCATACTACAGCGTAACTATATATATTACATATATATAAGCCATATTCGATATAATATTACCTAATACGCTTATACTTAGTGCATAGTACAGCGTAACTATATATATTACATATATATAAGCCATTTCGATATAATATTATCCAATACGCTTATACTTAGTGCATAGTTACAGCCGTAACTATATATATTACATATATATAAGCCATATTCGATATAATATTACCTAATACGCTTATACTTAGTGCATAGTACAGCGTAAGTATATATATTACATATATATAAGCCATATTCGATATAATATTACCTAATACGCTTTATACTTAGTGCATAGTACAGCGTAAGTATATATATTACATATATATAAGCCATATTCGATAAGTATTACCTAATACGCTTATACTTAGTGCATAGTACAACGTAAGTATATATATTACATATATATATAAGTATAGCGTAAGTATATATATGTTATATTTATTATGTATATATATATATAAAAGCTACATTCGATATATAATATACCTAATACACTTATACTTAGTGCATAGTATAGCTAAGTATATATGTTATATATATATAAGCTACCATTCTGATAAATATTACCTAATACACTTATACTTAGTGCATAGTATAGCATAAGTATATATTATATATATATATATATATATAAAGCTACATTCGATATAATATTACCTAATACATTTATACTTAGTGCATAGTACAACGTAAGTATATATATTACAAATATATAAGCTATATTCGATATAACATTACCTAATACACTTATACTTAGTGCATTAGTAAGGCGTAAGATAATATATATTAATATATATATATATATAATATATATATATATATTATATATAGACACACACGCACGCTTCGTAGTACTTTCATCCCTTGTATTACAAAAGTGTTAACGGCTAATATTTATATTATTTATTTAGTAAATACAAAAGTGATTTTTAATTTTGACCAATGTGACCCTTGTTGACCTAAATAGCGACTAACTTTGGTCGCTAAATATACATAATTTTAAATTAGCGACCCAAGTTGGACGCTAAAATTAAATCAGATTTATTTATCTTTTTTATTATATTTAAAATATTAACCGGGTCCCAGATTAGCGACCAAAGTTGGTCTATACTCTACTGAGCGACCAACATTGGTCGCTAAAGTTGAATTATATTTATTTATATTTTATAATTTTGTTTAAACAAAATTATAATTATTAAAATTTTATAACTGGGTCCCAAATTAGTGACTAAAGTTGGTCTCAACCTGTTTTCTCTTTATATAGCGACCAACTTTGGTCGCTAATTTTAAATTTTATTTATTTATATTTTGTTATTTTTTAAAAATAATATTACAATTATTAAAATTTAATAAGTGGGTCCCATGAAGCGACCAACGTTGGTCGCTAATCTGAGTAATTCTTAGACCAAGCAAGTCTGACCAGTCCGGTCAACAGTTTGACAAAATTTTCGACCAAGTTGCGACCAACGTTGGTCGCTAATTTATTTAAAATCATTATTTTATTATTTTCACCAATTTAGCGACCAACTTTGGTCGCTTTTCTTGGCAGACCAACTTTGGTCGCTAAAATTTGGTCGCTTTATGCAGGAACTCTAGTAGTGTATATTGATAAGGCTTTGTTAGAACGAGCTATCCTATCTATTAACAGAAGTTCATGTAAGAATTTATTTCCTGGAAGTGTTTGAGCTAATCCCTGAGCCGAGGGTCTCCCAGAAACAGCCTCTCTATCCCTCCGGGGTAGGGGTAAGGTCTGCGTACACTCTACCCTCCCCAGACTCCACTAGTGGGATCCTACTAGGTTGTTGTTGTTGTTATTGTTGTTGTTTGAGCTAAAAACTGGTAAATATGTGACCCTAAACCACAGATCTTTTTCCTAAGAAAAGGTAGTCACATTGGCTTCTTTGTTTCCATTTATGGAAAAGCTATTTAGAGTATATTTGCAGCTTGTAAGAAATGAAGCACCAAAAAATAGCAGAAATAGAGTAGATTTCGCAGAAGTGCTCCCCACGGGGTTGAGCTTAGTGCTTCAAAGTTGACCAATGAATAAGCTTTTTTTTTTTAGAAAACAAAGTCAATTTAGACCCTTAACGGTTTTTTGAAAAGTTGTTCCTAATGTTAACCAAATTTAATTAAGAATTTCACATGCTTGGCATGAGTATAGGTTTCACCGGTACAGCAATTTGATTAACCACATCCTTATGTTACGACAAAAAATTTTCAATTCACACAACCTAGAAATGTAAACAACAAAGTGGACAATCTTCAAGGAACATGGAAGAAAGCCAACTTGACCATGATTGTTCAGAACCCCAAAAAACGATCTCCTAAAGCTGAAGACACTACACCAAAAAGAATTTCCCACTACTGAAAGTGCCTGCCAATCAATCCAGCGAGGGGTCCATTTGTGATCCTGAAATTGAAATACAAACAATTAAACAGGCAGTGGGAAACCAAAAGAGACATTATAACAGAAAGTAGTTTTCCAAGAATAATAACTTCTCAAATGTCACATACCCACTAGAAATTCCACCACCAGCAGAAATGCCACCCCCACTTTTACGCTCAACAACATTCATAATTAAGTCTACCTTACTAGTATCTGCAATATTGCATTCAAAAAGTTAATTTACAGAAAGAGCACTAGATAACAGCATCTGGCGGGAGGTTTCTTTTGTATCAAGAGTGTGAGCAGACGCCCAGAGGGGTAAGGAGGGGCCTTGACGCCACCAAACTTTCTGTAGTGCATATGGTCTCTTTTATATGCACAGCATTTTATATAATCATTGTCCGCCCCCTGATGCAACCAAGAGGACCCACAAGCAAAAGAATATTTTAGTTAATAATAAGGCTGTAAATTTACCAAACAGATATATCGTGCTGTAACCTCTAATCCTTAGATCTAAGTATTAACACTAATTTCACAGATCTGTTCATTTTATTTTTATTCATTCTTGGATCTAATACATGTTATATTTGGCCTTCTATTATTTCTAGTTAAATTAGACTTTAATTTATAGGTTGCAGTCCAAAAGGTTCTCACTAATTAAGGGTTGGCTTTCTTCCATTCCATGTTCAAGTAACTACTAGGAGCTTTTCAGACTGCAACCTATAAATTAATTCTTGGTATAAGTATAGGTTCATCACAACACATCTCCTAAATTGACATGGTGTTTGTTACTATATTTTCCTAACAAGGACATTTCTTTCTTATGTGTTACTATATACCTTTATAATACATTTTGCTTTTGATACTATGTGTCATTTCATCCTTAATTTCTGTTATGTAATGCTACTCCTCCAACCCAAATAGAAAAAGAAAACAACCTAGCTATGCCCCTCTTAACTAAGATAAAAATGCAGTTATGCAAAAAGAGAGGTGCGATATGATTTGACAGTTAAAACCATCCACACTAAATCACCTCCAGCAGGTTGAGGGATAATGCCAACATCTTCCATAATGCCCATAGCTAAGACAGTATCCACATCTCTTTTCCCTTGAAGCATGCTGTATACCTAGACAAGAATAGACAAAATTTCACATTCGAATTAGCACAAAGATAGTGGATTTCCCGGAAACAAATATGGTATACAATTTGAGAAGTTCCCATGCAGTTTGCAAAATCAGCACTTTCACTTATGCCAATTCACAATTAAGAAATTGTAGAACTAGCTAAGTGTAAGATAGAGTCTTTTGGTCATTTGACATTCATAACTATGTGGACCTCTCATTGAGCATGATTAAGGGAACCTCTCTTGTTATACACTGGTAAAAGACATTCTCAATTTTGTGACTTCTAGTAAGAAATATTTGAATGGATAAACTAGTAAAAGCTAGAGCTTTCGCATTTGCAACAGACATAAAGAGCAGAAGTTGGAAAAAGAAGATAGAAGGAGGGTATTGTGCCAAAATGCTAACGTTCTCTGTCATGCTTCCCAAGTAACTAAAGTGCAGGTCAACTAACTTTGCAGCAAAATTCAGGATAATAGCAATTTCATTCAATCAGAAGGTGCAAAAAAATCCAATTCGACGCATTTTATTTCCATATATCTCTTTAAAGATCTAGCCACATGTGTAAGACATGGAAGTGAGACGCAAAGTGATGCTGAGATGCTATTAACACAAGGTAGAATTCCAGAAAACAAAAACCAGAGAATTTATAAATGTGTCAAGCAGAAGTTAAGCTCACTTATTCTTTGAAACACTTAAACTCTAGAAATGGGATTACCATTAGCAGAAAGAAATCAATTATTTTGTACAGAACTTTTCCCTTATTAGAATGACGTGTGATACAAAATATTTGGAGAACGATCATTTAGGACAACAAATGTTGTCTATTGAGAACCAACCACCATAAGAAAATTGGAAAAATTGTAACCAAAAGAAATATCTTCAGAGGATAATCACTAAACTTATGCAAAAGCTAGCTATAACTTTTTAGGGCTTTCAGATAAGGAGAGGTAGGGGAAGGCCGAAGAAGTACTGGGAAGAAATGATTCAGCAGGACATGGAATATCTTCAGCTTACCGAGGACATGACCCTTGATAGGAAGGGGTAGAAGCCGAGAATTAGGGTTGTAGGTTAGTGGATAGTCGTACGTCTTTCCTTTCCATAATAGTAGTAGTAGTAGTAGTATTTTTTTGCATTCTCTTATTCTTGGATTTATAGTACTATTGTTTCTTTTGCTTCAGCTATCTCACTATCTTGTTGTTGTACTGCTTCTTTTCCTTTCCATGCTTTTTTCGAGCCGAGGGTTCATTGGAAACAGCCTCTCTACCTTCACAAGGCAGGGTTAAGGTCAACGTACACACTATCATCTCCAAACTCCACTTGTGCAATTACACTGGATTTTTTGTTGTTGTTGTTGTAGATGAACCCAATCGAAGAAGTTAAAACAAACCTATTGATCAAGACTGCAACCTTTTCATTTTCTTTTTTTTCCTGTGATTTTTTTTGTTTTCTAATAGGTGAACAAGTTGGTAACCTATAACTTCCTATTGATTCATGAAAACTGAAGTTGACAACTGCCTAGGAAAAGATGACCAGCATATTAGCCTACAACATGAGCCTCCTACTAAAGCCCCAAGGTTCTGCAGAATTAGAGGGCATAAACAAAAACCAAAAAAGGGGTTAATAGGAAATTCGCTAATCTAACATACTTTAGCCTACTTCAATTCACTACTCTAACATGCTTTAACCTACTCATAGAAACACAAAGCTGCCAAGAACTAATTTCAAATTGTAAAAGTTTCTAGATATCAAAGATGTACGTTAAAAGACGGTTTTTAACACCAAGTTTATAAAGGAATAAAAAATAAAATGCTGTTAGAATAGGATAGGCCAGTCTAAGTATACCTGCCCTTTCTTTGTAGTAAGTTGCCGAAGTATAGTTTCAGGCCTTGTTTTCCCTACAGTTGGCTCCCCACTGAGACATGCAAGCAAGTGCAAGACATCGCTTAGAGCAATTGTATTCAATAAAAGGCATAGGTATAAGAAAGTTAGGTTCTTACGTCCTATCAAGGAAACGGATGGCTTCAGAAACTCCTAGCCTAATCATACCCAGTGTTGTGAAGAGCGTGAAGCGAAGAAAAGCGACAACCCCCATTTCACGTAAAGCGAGAAGCGAAGCGCTCGCTTTTTTTAAGTGAAGCGGAATTAAAAAAAAGTTAAAATAAATACTGCATAGACAACACATTATTGTAAGCAAATGTTCAATACTTCAATTAAAAAACTAAAGAGTAGCATCAATTAAAGCACAAAATGAGCATCCTATTCTTCTACAAAATGAGCATCCTATTCTTCTATAAGAACTAAGAATAAAAGATATAATAATTGGGCAGAAATTGAGGGCAGAAACTGGAAAAACTGGGCAGAATTTTTCTGGAAAAAGTTCACCAGCATTTCAGCGCTTTTTGGACGTTTAGAAAGAAAAAGAAGAAGAAGAAGAAGAAGAATGAAAATCAAAAGTCCAGAAACCTGTTGAAAGTTGTTGTCGTACTGTTGAAGAAGAAGAAGAACAACCCTAGTTTGAAGAAGAGAAATTGCTGCTGTTGTTTGAAGTTAATGAAGAAGAGAGGAAGAAATCTAGTTTCTCGCTGCTGTTGAAGTCTCGAAGAAGTCCAGACTGTTTAGAAACAAGTTTTTAACAAAAATAGGGCTTTGGGTAATTTTTAAACAGAGAAGCCTCGCTTCTTCTCGCTTCACCGCCTCTCTTTTTTTACAGAGAAGCGATAGCTTTTTCTACCAGAGTCGCTTTCAATGGCAGAAGCGATGAACTGTGCGCTCCGCTTCGCTTCCTCGCGCTCGCTTTTTTAATCACTGATCATACCTCAAGAGAGCATCTCTACACTCGATACCTACAGGACAATATTAGATAACTCAATTTCCCACATCACAAATAAAGGCATCCAAAGGGGAAAAATAATAACAACAGGCTAGTTATCATAGTGAAGTGCTAACCGCTCCAAAAAGACCCCGCTCCATGTACCAACCATTTATAGAGCTTATTATTTCATCTATACGCTTGATATTAACAATTTTTCCTGCATTGCTTGACACCAAAATAAGCACAGCATGGGTTGCGTACTAGACAGAGCGCAAGACATAGGCTGATTATTTAATATGCTTGAAAGACAAATACAAAACAGAAGCTCATGCATATAAAAAGAAATGGCAATACAGGGTGTATAGCGAGAGTATAAGGAAGGCGTACCACATCCATCTTGAAAAGAATCCTCTATAAACCTTGCTGGAAGCACATTGGCTCCTTCACATACCAAACCATGGAACTCCCGGTTTGGTTCTACCTTATGCAAAAACATAATAGATATAAGCAATTATACACGGCAAAAAATGAGGAAATAGTACATTCTTCTGAATGCATTCGAACATTTAGAAACTTTTAATAATATAATACAATCTTCATTTGCTTATCGAGAAGGAAACTCTTTTTATTCAATAGAATTTTTATTGGTTTATCCTAGTCTAATAATTACTACTATTGTTATTCCAAAATATAAGGTGAAATATCACTATTTGAAAAAATTAATATTTCAACCTGTCAATGCAATATATTTTTTCCTCTTTTTGTGACTAGCTTGCACACATTTTGATTATCCCGCCACCAGCACAGGAACAGCTGCACCGGTTAACTCTACCCACCCAGACTTAGGCTGGTGGGATTTGAACCTGAGACCTCATGGTTCTCCTCCCACTTCATTGCAATGCAATATCTTATATCTCCATTTATTCATCATTTTTCTTCTAAAAGAACCAACCTTTAAGCTAAATAAGGTATCAATTAGTTCTTCTTTAAGCTAATTAGATATAAAACTTGTGGTCTAAAACAAGCATAGACGTTTTCTGTTGATCTCATCAGAGGTTAAATATGAAGTTTAAAGTTAAATTGTTTCTAAATATAGAAATCTGTCATTTTTCCTGAACAATTTGGAAAGTAAAATGTGCCAACATAAACTGGGACGGAGGGATTAATATGTGAAGGAAAATGTACCTGGAAAACCAAGTGAATACCGTCTCTAGTATCAACAGCAACAGGCATACAAGAGCAAAAGTACCCACTATCAATGATCCTATGCACATCTTCTTGTACCTCTCTCACGGTAAGCGCCGAATTGGGCCGACACGCTTTAAGCGCATTTAATGCTTCACTCTCCAAATCCTTCAGTTCAAGTTCTTCACCATCCTTGTTTCGCACTAATACCTCACTAATCAGAACTCTCTCCTCGTTCCCACTCCCCGTGTTTGGGCCCGGTTCAATAACTGAGTCGACCCGGGTAACTCATCCGAGTTGTTCTGAACCTGACTCTGAGTCAATGCCATTGATGCAGAGCAGAGGAGTGGGGTTTTTCGTAAATTCCAGTTAAATAAGTAGATGTTCCTGGGTTTTTTAAGGAATTGGAGAATTGCATTTTCGGGATTGAAATTTTGGTGAAATTGCATACACTCATCGTTGTTCCTTGTAACATGATCATATACAGACATGAATCACTACAATGCTTCTAGTGCTATATTTGTGAAAGATAGATTCCTGGTGTTGTTGTTGCCATCAAAAGCAAGTACACTATGTGCAGAGTCACGTAAGAAAATAACAAAAACTTAACACTCTGGCTATCAATACACATAACAAAATGAAATCTGGAGACACCAATAATGCTGTTCGAGTAAATAAAGCTGCACTGTATTAAAAGAAACATGGACAAGAAACTCAGAAGTGATTTATTCTCTATTTCTTTTCATCAATGCCCTCTACACTGAGTTTAGACAAAAGAATTACAAATTTCCAATGTCATGAAAAATAATTCCTGTCACTTATTCACTAATATTCCAAAAATTCTAAACTGAAACCACATTTCTCAGGGTTAGTACAAGGCATGAAATCAAAAGGCCTCATTCACTACAACAATAAATTTCACCATATAAACTTAATTAACCAACTACACATCCCTTCATTTTACTGACTTCCTTCAATCTAATGTAAAACAGTTAGTAGTACAATTAAGATTGGAACTTTAACAGAACTCCGTCATTTTCCCAAAAAAACCAATTACAAGCTTTACCATAATCCGTAACCAGCCGACCTCTCTATTTCTTTCATCAATGTCCTCCACATTGAGAGTGAAGAATAAGAATTACAAACATCCATTGTTATAAAAATAATTTCATTCAATTATTCACTATCCTAAAAATTCTAAACTCAAACCCCATTTCACAGGGTTAGTACAATATGAAATCAAATACTATGACAACAAAATTCATCATAACCTCAATAAATCACCTACATATCCTTAACTTTCCTGCCATCCTTCAATTAAATCTAAAACAATAGTATAATCAAAATTGTAACTTTAAGAAAACTCCATCATCAAAAAATTCAATTAGAATTTTTACCCTTACGCCCTCGCTGTAGCTGGAGGCGTTACACCATCACCATCACCCTGTTCCTCATTTCCTTCCATCCGCTGACTAAGCAGCAACTGCTTATTCTTCTCAAGTGCATTTGCAACTTCAGGTGGCATATACTTCTCATCGTGTTTCGCCAACACTTCCGTAGCTGCAAAATAACAATCCCCGCTCCTCGCCTTTTTCGTCACCTCTAACTTCTTCTCACTCAAAATCCCACTCTCTTTCTTCTTCATTTCCTCCGTAAACGGCTTTACAAACCCTTCAACTACAACAGAATGCCCTTCCCTAAAAAGATCGGGCAACGACCCGTCATACTTAACCAAAATATCAGTAATCAAATCAGTAATCACAAATTCCATTTCAGGTGAATTAGGGATTGGTGTTACACTATTTTCTAACACTAACCCGCCGAGTCGGAATTTTGATTTTGTAGGGTTTTGTGAGTGTTGTGATAGTGCGTCTGTAGGTGTAACGTAAAATACAAGCTGGTCTTGGAACTGGTTAAGGACTATTACTATGAACCCAGCTATGCAACTGAATGTGATCGCGTAAGTCCAGAGACGCCGGGTTTGGAGTTGTCGGGCTCGAGCACCAATATCGGGCCGGGCTGATCTGTGGGATTTAGCAGGCCGGGAGAGTGTGGAGAAGGATCGAAGGGTGAAAAGGGGTTGGTTCGGGTTGAAACGGGAAAAATTTAAGGGCTGTGATTGGCGGTGAAGGAGTGAAATTAAAGAGTGAGATTTGGAGAGAGTGGTGGTGGTGGCGGCGGCGGCGCCGGTGGCGGCGGAACGGAGGAGACGGAAAGCTAGACGAGAAGTGAGATTTGAAGCCATTGAAATTTCCCAAATCTTAGAAAAAGTAAAAGTGCTTTTGGGAAAAAAAGAAATTAGAAACTTTGACTTGTTACTTTAGCATATGGTGATTTATTTTATTAATTATTATATTAGGTTCGTTTTTGTACTTTGTCAGCAACCATTAATTCGTTTTTTTAGTATAATTGTTTAGTTTAGGAACCATGATTTGTTTTTCAATTGCAATTTTACCATCTCGAGTTTTTAGAATTAAGTCAAATTCACATTTTATTTTGAGTAATTTATAATTAAGAATTTAAGATTAAGTCAAACCATAGGTCATGGACAAAATTTTCAAATATTCTTAGAAAATGCTTAAATGGTTGAATATGTCACAAACTAGAATTTTTTTTTTAAAAAAAAAGGAAGCTAGTGGCTATATTTTAAAACGTCTCGATATACTTTATTTAGGCTTGGACAATTTGTTGTTGGTATTGCTGGTTGTTACTGCTTTCTTTCTCTTTCCTCGAGCCGGGTTCTATCAGAAACAGTCTCTCTACCCTCAAGGTAGGGGTAAGGTCTGCGGACACATTAGCCTCCCCAAACCACACTTATGATATTATACTGAGTTTGTTGTTGTTATTGTTTTTGTAGGCTTGGACAATTATTCACGGGGAAGTATACAAATAATCCTCAAAGTGGATATCCTTGAATTTTTATCCCCGCTTAAACTTTAAGTTTAACAAGTGTAGCCCCTCGCTTTCCCCATGGATAATACTTGTAACTTTTAACCTTGAAGTTTTTCCCAGCGGCAAGCAAAGGTCAAAAGTTAAAAGACCCTCGCAAATAATATCATATTTCTACTTATTTATTTTTTGTCACGCGGACACGGACGCCAATTATACTATGAATCATGTTTTAGCTTCTATTAGTACGATTTATGAGATAATTCTGACTACCAAAGCTTAAGTCTCGATATGTATGTAGGAGAGTTGTTTAATTTTTTCTTTGCAAAAACCACCAAGTTCAAAAGCTCTAGGTGAGCTAATATGTTAATATAGTACGTGGAGTTGTTATATTTTAAAGTTTAGCGTTTAAAAAATGGAAGATGGCATCCAACAACCAGCCTCATTTTTTATAGAACCAAAGTGGAGGTAATAAATCAGTATTTTATTTTTCAGTAATAAGGACTTACTGTTGAAATGTCCATTAACACATAGTTGACCCTCATTTTTTTTGTAGTTTCAGTACTTCTATAAAAAAAAATAGATATGCTAAAATAGTAAATAATTAAAAGCCCACAATAAATAAAAGGAAGTATCATTGAAGTTAAGGCCAGTAGGGAAGCACAAATATCAGACTTCAAAGAGTATGATTCAGTTTATAACAGATAAACTCCAGTTGCTTCATAAACTAGCTCATACTATTCACTCTCTATGCAGATAACCCGATAGAACGATAATTATCTCTTTCAAAACTCTAGAACCATATGGCTTCATGGAATTTTTAGCTCAAAACTAAAAGCTATATAGACTGAAAAATTAGGAAACCAAAGTTTGGTATACAAGTATAGAATAAGACCACAAAGGAATGGTGTAAGGGATAACATTCCTTCACCGTAAAATCTAAGTTGCTCGGACACGGATGCAGGTGTCCGACACGGGTGGGAATCTAGAGGTCGGATCCTTAGAGATGTAAATTATAAGATTCGGAATACGTATCCTAGTATGGATAGGGTGCGAGGATCCGCCTAAAAATAATTCAAAAAAATATAAAATATCTCTAAATTGTGATAAATTTTGTGGAATACTTAAGCATAACTTGTAAAGTGTGGATTTCTTTTTTATTCTCAAGTTGTAGATAAATAAAAGGTTGGCTTTCTAGATAAGATATAATATTTTTTTCAAATTTACCCTCGTTTTGGTCCTAATTTCAGGAATCAAATTGTATCTTATCTCGAACTTTTTCATCCATCGTGGTCAAAGTACCCAAAATTATTTGACCAGATCCGGCACAGATTCCATACCCACACTCATACTAGTCTCGTGTCGACATGGGTGCGGCACCTAAACTGTCATGTCGGAGCAACTTAGCGTAAAATAGAAAAATTACTTCAAACCGCTTATTTCATTAATATGTCCTATGCAGCACGAATTCAGATTAATTAGCCAATTCATTCCAGCTACAGAATGTTAGCGAAAAAGAGGTATAGAATAGGCGGTTTATCATATGCACATTGCATCTCAACTAGTGTAGGGGAGGGAGGAAGAGTGGGCGTATACCTTCTCTTTACATCTTCACAAAGAGTTGTTTCTACGCCTTAAGCCACAATTAGGCTCCACCGTTTAAAATAATACAATAAACAAAACATCTGATCTTCGCAATTAGTAACAACAATGAGAATCCAAAAAAAGAAGGGGCATTTGGAAAATAATTATAGCCCATAAAAGATAAAGCATAAAGCACTTTATTATAATATTTGGAAGGGGAAAAAATATAGATAAAGAATACAGCGAACAAAGTCAAGGAGCACAAACCGAAGATCTCCCAAGAGCATGCTATTTTAAGAAGATATATGCGGTTGAATCAAAACTTCTCAATTCTCAGGATATCAAAAGACAATCCGATGGATAGCAATCACTAGGAGTTCATATTTAGATATAATCCATCAGCAAATTCATTAACGACTCTTTCCAGTTAAGCTCAAGTTTGAACATCTAAGTCATATACTTAACAGCCCGAACTACTGGTTCTGAATTCTACCGTACTGGCCTACATTAGCATAGAAGCTTTGCTTCCAGATTTTTTTTTTTTTTTAGGGGCACCTCTGAACCACCAGCCAATCATTTACTATTTTTCTGATAACTAACCACCGGCCTATTAAAATTTAATAAAAAGGAATATGCAAAGGCATCCAAAACTTACAACCCTTCGGGTTCCAGATTTTCCTTTTCACCTTTCAATCACCATCAGCCCATTAGCCTATCCAAGTGAATATATTTTTTTTCCTTATTCAGTTTACAGTATTTAACTCATTTTTGATTAGCCAACGGCCAGCATAACTAGAGCCCCATATTCTACCCATAATGGCTTCCAGAACTTACAAACTTTGGTTCCAGATTTCTTTTTCACTGAATCACCATCAAACCATCTGCCTATCAATGATATTGTGTTTTCCTCTTCAGTTTACAAACTGGGTAACTTGTTTCCAGTTACCCAGGGGCCAATATGACTAGTGAAAAAAAAGGGTACGATAATATATTAAGTATAATTAAAGGTAGTACTAGTAAATAATAATAATTAGAAATAATGTTAGAATAGTATTTGTAGATAAACGTACTAATAATATTATACTAAATATACTAAAGGAAAACTAATGATAGAAGTAGGAAGAAGTACTTAACAGTAGATAGTGAAAATACTGACAGAAATAATTATTATAATAATAATAATAATAATAATAAATTCTCAAATTAGTTACAAGATATTTAATCTGAAGTAGATGTATGTCAATCCCCAGCAACGGCGCCAAAAATTTGACGAGACCAATGTGCATAGGATTTTTCTGCTCGTATTCAGTCAAATTCTGGTATAGTTTATGATATCGTCCCACAGAGATTGGTTAATCTAGGCTACAGACTTTTAATATTTTTACTACTATTTGAGAGAACCAAATTGATGAAAGGTGAGTTTTAAAACTTGTTAATTAATTAAATCAAAGCAAATAATTTTCGAAAGATTTATAATTTAAAAAGAGTTGGGAATCGTTGAATTCACTTGATAATATTATTACAATAAAATCTCAATCTCTACATGTATTTCTCTAAAGAATAATTGCTTATTGCTAATACAATTATATTTGCTCACTAAGAAAAAGTCAATTAATAGCACTCCGTGAGGTTATGTAATTAATTGAGTTAAAACTAGTGACGATCAAACCAAAATATTTTCTTGCTTGAATTGTGCTAAAAGGTAGTAAAAACTTCGTGAGAATATTTTTACTAAAAGTCAGTAATCTTGCCTACAACAATTCCTCCGTGAGAATTAAAATCGAGACAAACAAGATTACAGATTTGAAATAAGAGTTTTACGAAAAATTATTCTCACTCTATTATTTTATTCATTGGTTATTATATATATTTATTTTGCTCCGTGAGAATTATAAAATTAATATAAGAATAACTTAAATAAAATATATAGAAGTGATAATAATGATTAACTAGAAACCATTATATCAGCACAGTATGAATTATACAAAGAAAATTTCAAGCCAATGATGTATTAAAACTGAAAATATTACAAAAATATTTATCAAGCTTCATCAAGTAACCCAACAAACAAGATTACTCCATTATGGAGTATTTAAATCTCCCAACAAAAAGGAATTCTAGAATATTGCCAATACTCTTAGAAAATCCAAAAACTAACAAGAAGAAAATAAAATAGTTAAAAAAGAAGAAGTTAAAGCCAAAGTTTATAGAAAAGTAGTTCTCTCTTTTTCCCTTTTTGATGCCAAATTTTGCATTCTATTTATAGAAAAGTATTGTAGGCATAAAATGATTAGACATGTCCAAGACTAAGAGCTTGGACATGTCTGAAGATATGATCTTGGACGCGTCTGAAGATATGATCTTGGACGCGTCCGAGGATATGATCTTGGATACGTCTGAGAATATGATCTTGGACATCTTGGATGTGTCCAAAGATAGGAGCTTGGATGTGTCCAAGATAGGAGATTGGATACGTCGAAACTTCAATTAGACTTCCATTTGTCATTTCAATTCTTGTGCTTGCCATAGAAGACTTTCATCGAATATTATGTCTTTTCCTTCTACTATTTGTAGTCTTTTTTTTCCTTCCTTTTATCCTGCAAAAATAGTTAGAAAGAGGCAAAATTCAAAATATAATTTAAGTATATTATTTAAAGTAGGATATTAAAAGTATATAATAAGTAAATATTTTATATTCATCGGGCCCCATCATGGTCCCGAAGGTGGGAATTCCTAGTCATGACAAGTTGGTATCAGAGCACTAGGTTGCCTAGGTCTCACGAGTCATGACCCTATCTTCTCCCACTAACCCAAATCTCCACACTCAAAGC